TACTTCCATCTGTAAAATCAGATGCAGCGGCGCTAGCATCAGTTTTAGAACATTTTAAAAAGCAGCACGCCGAGAGTCCATTAAATAAGTTTATTATAAGAAGGTAATTACAAGTAATTATAATTTTACATATAATTATCAATGACTTATAAGACGATACCTTTACATTAATTTTATTTTGTGAATTTTATTTTAGATATGTTGTCAGTACAGTTAGTGGTGTGTTAGAAATATTTCCAGGGATGATATTAGATTCTGGTTTTGATCCCAAAAGGCGAATGTGGTATGGGAAGGTACTGGAACAACTTGACAAGATAATCTTAACTCCACCTTACTTAGATGCAGGTGGATCAGGCTATGTAGTCACTCTGAGTCAAACTGTCAAATATTCTATGAGGATTAATGGAAGTACAGATTATGTAATTGCTGTTCTGTCTATGGATGTTACAATGGGTTACATTATGAGATTGTTGTTGGAAATGTTTCCATTCTGTCATGATGTAACTGTAAAGTGTTTCTTGATGGATGATAAAGGCTATTTGGTATCACATCCGAAGTTATTGGAAGCGACAGGCAAAATCGAGCAACAACATTTAACACACAAGGAACTTTTAGTGGCTAATGACATATTGAATCACGGAATGTTCGTGAAAAAAAAATCATGCGCCAGCTACTTAGATGGTACTGTGCAGAGATACTATCAGTTTAATACGTCGCTCGATGAGGTGCTCACTAATATGGCACATGGCGAGCACTGTGTTAGATATCAAGTAGCTGCTGTACCAGGAACCAATGTATTCCTTGGTGTTGTGAACACGACTACTCAGTGTAATTTGCTTAGAGCTTTTTGTCCGTGCAGTACGGTAAGCTCACAATTTTTATTTTAAAATATTTTTTAATTTCTTAAATAATATATTGTATCTGTTTATTTTAAATATTGCAGATGGATCATTCGTGCCTGAATTGTAAAAGTATGGAACAAACTGGTTGTGAATGTCCTTGCGAATGTTCCTTGTATTCTTCTAGCTGTATGCAACAAAATATCGATAATTTGGATTCTTGTCCACCTATATATGAGCAAGGATCTAGTTTACAGACTCCGTGGATAGAGCCGATGAATTTTAAATCGTGCCCAGTTATCAATTGCAAATCATATACTACGGAGAGAGACTGTTTAGGTGTAGCGGATTGTCAATGGTGTCATGTCGATACCGATGGAGAGACTCCTTTGCAACAACCGTTTTGCTCTGATATGTCCATATGTTTTAAAGGAATCTTCGGTTCTTTAATACCTTACGGCGATGGCACTTACAGTAAGTTTGCCTTTTTTGTTTATTCGCATTAACCATTGGATAACAAAATTATGCGTTTTGCAGATTCGCAATCGACTGACGAGATCGCGATACGAGAGTGGCCATCAGTTGGGCCGGTAGCTGGTGGAATTCTTGCACTGTTTTTGATTCTAGGTTTCATTGTGTTTTGCTACAGACTCCGATCAATGCATTCGGGTCTAGAGCATCAATGTTTACATATTCATACCTCCCCTGATACATTGCGTATGACGCATATCGATGGCGATCCGGAACCTGCAGAATTAGATCAGATTAAAAATAATTTAGATTGTCTCGTGAGAGACAATGTGGCCCGTATATCACCGTACAGAGTTTCTACTAATTACAGAAGACCACCCGGTGGGGACAGTGATCATGGATATAGCACAATGACACCTCACGATGATTCTGAACAACAGACTTTTGCCTCCGAACCCCTATTAGCGGTTGAAAATGACGTCGAATCGGATTTGACTAAACAATCTGGCATTGGAGTGCCTTCTCCTACGACATATTTAGGATCGCCACATCATGTTTTAGCACCTGTGACTGTCCATCGAGATATGGAAACGAATTACTGTTGACTGATGAAACTTATAGCGTTTTCTCTTGGGATACACTGGGTGCAGTCGTGCACCAGTTGCGTGTAAAGCCCGTATCAGACTACTGACTCTGCAAGCCGACCCGATTGCCAACTCTGACTGCCGACCAATAATGGACCAATCACAATGAGACTGATTCAATGTGATTGGTCCATTATTAGTCGATAGTCAGAGTTTGCAGTCGGGTCGGCTCGCAGAGTCGGTAGTCTGATACGGGTTTAAGCGCTACACTCAGCTATACTACACTAGAGTGGTGCACACCATGATGTACACTACATCATTATTGCGCTAAAATCCTGTTCTCGCTTGACTTCCAAATTGATTTTCAAATTTTAAATTTCACACTGGCTCTGCACCGTCCTTTTAAGACGGTGTAGCAAAATTCCATAAAAAATTTGCACTACACCGTAGCCACGGAAACACGGTACACCGAATGAGTTCGCTTACCACCAGCCATTGAAATACGATACACTGTCTGAATGTTGCACTAGTGGGGCAATAGTGCAGCCAAGAGAAAACGCTATTATAATTTACTGCCATTTATTTAAAAAGACGTTATTTCCTTGAAACATTAGGCGTGTTTAAGCAAACAAAATAGCTAGCCTACTTGTCCAGCAATTGAACATGATTAGTTCTTATAGATTCAATCGCATCGAATCAGGCTAACAGCTTCGTCCAGTTTCAACACAGCCATTGTTTTAAGAAATCATCACAATTGTTTGTTCTTTGCAGATATAATCTCAGGACATAAGAATTAAGTGGTGAGTACCATGATAGTGATTTATTTTATTTGCGATCTTTGATGCGGAAGATATTGTATTATTTTACTACGAGACTGTTCATATTATTTTTATTATCAAACGACAAAAAGCATATTTCTTTTATTATGCTTGAAAAAAAAAAACGTAACTTTATAAACTGTACTCGGTACTAAGGCCTTTCACATAAGTACTAAAAAAATATTTGATAAAGTATTAGCCTTCTAAAAAAGTACTAAAAGCGATTATGCAAGTTTTATGTATGAAAATAGTTCAAATGGCTGCTATATATATATATTGAGCGAAGAACTTAAGTACATTATAAGTAGATAAGACAATAGCGAATTATATAAATGAAGCAATCTAGAAATGTAAAATATTAAAGTATATTATTTTAGACATGTTTTTGAACATGTTATATTACAACTTGCCAAGTATTTTTGTGACAGAGTAAAACATTAGTATATTCGGATAGGTGCTATGTATTCATAATTACATAGGATGAACATGAAAGGCGAGATTCACTTGAAAAGAATTCAGTACTCTAAAGCAATTGGTATATTATATTACATCTTGTATATAAATTAAGAGATTTAAAGTTGTTGTTATTAAGTATAGAAAATTAATGATAATATGAAATATTTATGCTAGTAATGGCAACTTCCTGTTTAGACATTGAATTTTAGCTTAATGTTTGAAATACTGCCATCATCACGTTCCATCATTGAATCGGATGGGTGAAGAGTTTATTGATAATTAATAATCTAAGAGATACAAAGATAATAAACAAAATTTTTTTTTGAATTTTTTATGGTGTATAAGACTGCCGGCGGTTTGTGTACGTAACTCCTTTTAGAGATCTAATAAGAATCTGGACATGAGAAAGTCACTTTTGATTGATTTTAACAATTCCCGAGAGAGAGAGAGAAAAAAAATAAGGAAATGATAGTAGAAAGAGAAAGAAATAGTAAATGTTCTTCCCTCAATTTTGTTAAAAGTATTACTCTGCATACAAAACTGTGCCTCATATCCAAACTCTTATTAGAGACTCTCTAAGCTTCACGACTTACTCTTAGAAACGTCATCCTGTTTCTTTTTTTGATAGATGTATACAGCGTACTTATTATCATGATTTACATAAATGACAATGCCAAAACGATAAAACTTTACAAATTGTGCAAAATTTTAAAATGTACATAGAGAATCTATAGTACTATTTTTATTGTTACTTTTCATTGTATCTCTTTTCTTTATTTCTATGTGGGTATATTTAAGCATTTTTCTTACAGTGTGTGACACCTTAATTTTATTAATTCAAAAAAATCATCTGAATGAAAATATTAAAACAACAAAAGTAAGAGAAATGTGGAATAATATGTCAATAAGAGAGTATATAAATTCCAGTTGTCCGTATTAATAGGCCTGTTCTTTTTATATATAGCTGAACTTTATGATGCCAATATAAAACATAAACGTAATGTTTAAATGTCTTAAACATTCGTTGTATTTTTATATAGAGACATTAAAATTATGCAATCGCGATAAGAACAAAAGTTACATTATTATAATAGTTACAGTGCGTTTTTTTTTATAAAAGTATTATTTAAAATTATACGATTAACACATATTTTATTGATATAATACAATACACTTTTGTTTATGCGTATTTTGTGCGATACGTACATTTTAACCAACTAACATGATCGTAATTCCATTTTTACATTTTTTAGTTAAAAAGATAGCGGCAAAATATTGAAAATATTAGAATGTAATTTATATCAAGTCTGCATAACTGGCTGCTCCACCGGACAGCAAATTCAACAACTCGGTCAAATTAATACTCTAACACACTTGTTGCTACATGTCTCGTCGATGTATACAAAATCTTCTATTTTAGAGAAAATTTTCCCGCGGATAACGTTGTATTCAGCAAGTTGTGCAGACTTAAATTATGCCGACAATGGCGATAACGACTTACGTGAGACTTGCGTACACCATCCTGACTGGTACTTATAAAAAAAGAACGTCCACTGAAGTATTGTTATTACTAAGAATGCAGTATAAAATACTGTTGTTTTATATTGATCTTTTTTACGATGTATGTATAATGCGTACAAAATTCGTGCCGAACGAGATTTTATACATTATACTAGTATTTTTTATTATTAAAATCTGTGCATTTTACTATTAAATAGAAAATATATCATTACCTTGTATTCCTTTCTGCACAACGTAACGAAAATATTGCGGAACGCCGTCTTGATTTTACAAAAAGGAAAGTTTGTGGAGGATATTACGTTCTTCGTATACGTAAAATGAAATGAGATACTTTTATTATATTATTCTGTCTTATAAGTAATTCAGTACGAGGTACATTGATGATCGACAAAATTTATGACTAAGGTATAAAGTCTGGATTTTTTCTTAAGATTACAAAACCTTCCATAATTGGTGTTAGTGGTACATATTCCTCAGTTGCAAGTTCAGCTCTCTCACCATATGCCAACAACACCGGAGTGGTGTGCGTTTGAAAGCCTGTGATGGTCTTCGGTTTGCCCGCTTGGCCGACAACATCGACGGCAAGTCCAACTCTTACTGGTACAGCCAGTGGATTCAGGTCCTCATCGAATGTTACTAGCATTCTGGGTTGCATTGCAGCAGCCAGCGTATACAAGAGGTAATGTGAACGTCCGAGAATAACTGAAAGTATATGTTATAACATTAATAATGACAAATTATATCTGATATTAATAAATAGTAAAACCCAGGTCAATACATTAAACGAGCTATAGTTAGGTGTACTAAATAATATTTATTAATTACAAATAATAACTATTAATTACAAATAATTTTCCGACGATAAGTTTCAATGGTACATCTCGACTATACTTAGTCCTCATCAACCGCAGAAATACATAAATATCTAAATATCTAATTATATTAACATATTATTAGGATCATCTCACATTCGAGTTACAATAAATAATATAACAGATTTTTAAGAATTATCTCGCCTTCGTGTTACAGAGGACGATATATCGCAACCATATCATAAATTTAAAGCGTTTGTTATTTATATTTCGCGTTGTGCTTTTGTTTTAACGAAATTTTTATATATACGCGTACATACATAAAGTTATAATTTATTATCGGTTTACTATATATTTTTAAATGTTAAAGATAATTTTTTTTTAAGTTACAAACTGTTAATGTCTTTATAGTTTCAATTTTAACGATAATTCTATTTAGTTTATCTACCAATATTGAGAACGTACATACAACCTTTTATATGATTTGACATCAAATTACATCATTAATATGACCGGAATTTATTAATTTATTCATGATTGCCCTTTCTCGCTATTAACCGATGAATTGGTTCGGAACCATGACTCTTCACTACATCGTTTATTTTTATCAAGTTTGACTACATATGATATGCGATATACCGTCCTCTGTAACACGAAGGTAAGATGATTCTTAGAAATCTGTTATATTATCTATTGTAACTCAAATGTGAGATGATCCTCATAATATGTTAATATAATCAGATATTTAGATATTTACGTATTTCTGCGACTGATGAGGACTAAGTATAGTTGAAACGTACCGTTGAACTTATCGTCGAAAAATTATAATTTGTGATTAATAAATATTATTTAGTACACCTAACTATAGCTCGTTTAATGTATTGACCTGGGTTGTATTATTTATTAATTTGTTGTAAGTTATATGAGCGAAAAGAATTGATATTATTTATATTGTAATATATCTGATATTATTTTTAATATGAAAATCTGTGAGAATTTAAAGAATTATTGATTGATCAACTGTAGAGATATAAGAAAATAGTCAAGATTCTTCTTTGTTGTAAGATCTCTGGAAATTGATTGTCAAACTCGTTATATCTTCGTAATTCGTAACAAGAATAGCTTATCTGCTTGCTAATAATGAAATGCAGTTATCAAAGAACATATCTTTGCATCTATTGCATCAAGAATATATACTCACTGTTTTTTACGTCCAGGAAACCGATTAGCGTCGACAGAAGACCGGCTAGAGCAACAGGACTGAGCAGCTGTCTGTCACTATGATAAGGCGATAGGGTGAGCGTACCCTTACCCAGATGCGTTAAGCCTTGTGCGATGCGCACCATGAAGAGATTGTTGGGATCTTTCGCGTGGAATTGAGCCAGCTGTCTCAGCATGGCGGCTAATCGCGCGTTATTCGTGCCGGCACCGACCAGTCCCATGGCAAATATTGCGTTGTGCGCTACCTCGGGATCACTGTCGTGCGAGAACTTTGACAGCGTATCCAAGATGTTTAGTTTTGGATTCGATACAGAGATAAGACCCAGGGCGAGTGGTACCGAGCGGCGAATCACGGGTTCGCAATAACGTAGCAAGTGGCCAAAGGTTCTGTAAGCCATCTCGGCACCAATCTCCTCTCCCATAGCGATCAGGGCAATGCCAAGAACGGCGATAGCCTGTCTGGAACTGAGATCTTTCTCTTTCTCTTCCTTCTTCTCCTCTTTCTTATCTTTGTCCTTACGCTCGCTTTTTTCCTCCTTCTCGTTGCTTGATTCATAGTGTTCTGAACAGATGTGCAACAAGTGTTGGATCTTGAGGACATTTCCTGTACCAGCATATGCACATACCTCCACCAGTGTTGTCGACATCGACCTGAATGGCTCATGAACGATCTCTAAAGCTGCTATGATTGCTTCTGCCGCTTCCTGTTTACCTAGGAAGCACAATCCCAAACCAAGTGCCAAAAATCGCGCATATGTATCTTTGAGATCAGATTCCGACTTATCCATTAATGTGTGCATAATCGCTGTAGTGACATAAGCGTTACAAGAACCAGCAGCAACCATTCCTAATGCTAAACCAGTCATACCTAAGACTTCCCAGCTCGACTTGGTGTCACTGAGAACCGGTGTCAGCAAACCTAACACGCTTTCTCTGTTTGAACCGGCGTACGCAATACCAAGACCGACAATGGCGCCAATGCGCATAGTGTTGCTACTATGCAACACGTAATCAGAAAGCAGAGCCAAGGCAGGATCACACTCGTTTCTGACGCCGCAATTGACAATTCCGCAAGCCAATAGAGCGCCAGACTTGATATAAAAAAAAAAGCCAATAGAGCGCCAGACTTGATATAGTCTTCCGACGAATATAAATATTTATCGATCGGCGTCAGGCCACCATCGACATCCCATAGTAAGATCAGACCTAGAGATGCAGTCGCACTCAGCATGCCATGCTCCTTGTTTTTATACAGCCATTTGTTACCGTCCTCAATCAACAGTTTATCGTGGCCAAATGCAGCGTTTACAAAACCGTTGACGAAACTTGCTGCAAGATTCTGCCGTGCTGAATCAACTTGACCACCACCATATGGTGGTCGCGAGTTCTCCAAATGAGATTTATAGACATCCTCAGGTGTCTTTGGCTCCATTATATCCAATTCACGTGCCAAGTTCAGGAAGTGATTGTTCAAGTGGGAGTTAGACATTATCTCAAAGAGATCATCGTCTTCTATCGTAGCTTCATGTAGTTCCAGGAAGATTTGCTGACGACCTAGCATAAAGGCTAGTTGCTTTTGCACAGAACTAAAAAATCAAACATAAAGAGTTGAGTCTTCTGCTTAGAAAATATCAATCATTATTCAATAATGATAATAAGAAAAACTAAGTTATTAACTTCAATGGCGATTTGGGTCCTTTTTGTCTAGCTCAAATTTTTTTACTGTTCTAGACTTTAAAAAAAATTCAGGGTTACTTTTCAATATCTCTATTACATTATCAAATAGTTTTTAACTCAAATGTGAAAACCTTTATTTAATAAAAATTGAAATTTGAGCAAAAACAAGAATAAAATTTGAAAGTGAAATTTCGCTTGTTCCAAAAAAGAAGCAGTTTGCAGATAAAGGATTGAAAAATATCTAAACAAAAAGATCATAAAAAGTCATCTAAACAAAAAGATCAGAAAAAGTAAGTTTTATACTTACAGGTCTCGACAGTTTGTGAAGATCGATTCAATAAGTGGCAAATCGTTCAGTTGCATCGCCAGCCTAATTGCTTGCGGATATTGACCAAATTTACGATATAACTTGCAGGCGACATGAAGAAGGGTGCTGTTCTCTGGATCAGCTACATATGATACGCAACTCGTAAGATAAAGACATACTCGCTGATAAGCACTTTCATCAACGTACTGTTCTAGCAAGTCCAACCTCTCAATCTCCATTAGGAGGTCACATGCTTCTGTTTCTGCATTATGTGCCATGTTGTAGGGTACAATCTCGTGCACCAGAGCGATAAGTTTCTTGTTCGTTGCTTCAACGTTGTCACCTGTTACCTCGTCCCATTCTCCTGCTAGTTCTCCTGATAAATGTCTAACATATTCATGTCCCCATTCACCAATTGCCAGTGCGGAGCCTGTTAGTCTATATTTTAAACACTCCCGGCCCTCACCCATTGTCATTGCCAAAACGGAAATAACGTCTGAACATAATTCCTTATTTTTTACATTGGTCATTTTTTCATGTATGTTTTTCATAGTATCATAGTGAGGTCGCATAAATTTCAATGGCTTCGGAACACTTGTCATTGATGTTGTTGATGCACGAATATGCGAACGCAAGGATTCTAAGGCAGGATAGTGCAGTTTGGTGTTAGCATCCTGCAGGCGCTCCACGAGCAAAGTTAATTCTTCCTGTAGAAGTTTATCTTCTTCTGACTAAAGGACAAAGTCAAGTTTTTATTTTATATTTTATATACAATTTTTATTTTGTTTTATATATATCTATCTTTCTCCCCTAAATATATTAGATTGTACATCAAAATATATTACCTAATATTTAAAAAGATATAAGTGTTTTAAGAAACATACATTCATAAAATAAGGGGTCACTATCAGAAAAAAAACAAAAGAAATTACAAGAATAGCGAACCATCTAATGACAAGTTATTACAAGACACAAAAATAACTTACTTCAATTTAATGTAAATTATACGAAAAACGTTAAATTAATAATTTTATTTATATACTGACGCAAGAATTGCAAATGTACATTTAATCAACGATATTAAAATGTCGCTGTTCGATGATAACGCAACAGTATCCGATGCAGGTTAATTTCTTACCAGTTCATTTTTATCGTCTTCTTTTCCGTTCTTCACTTCTTTAACCGGTTTTGTTTCTGTTTTGGTGCTTTCCGGCATTTTAGTCACTTATTTTATACACGAATATATGAAACAAACACACGATTTCTTCTTCGATTCTCTAGTTTGGAGTTTGAGGTTACTAAGATGAGTATTCAAGAGGTTCTGCGAGTCACCATCATGGACACGCTATATAGAGTGGCGCACAGAACATAGAGTGGCGACTATGGGGATGAAGCTAGTATTATAGGTAATAGGAAACAATATGGCGGCCGGGCCAGGCAATATCGGGAGTGCGCGCGCAGGCGCAGCTCAATGATTCAGCAAGATGCGCAAACAACGATAGTAGCATGCACTTATGACGACATGCTCGCAGCGCTGACAAACAATTTTGGAACACAGCCATAGTTAACGTAATAGGCATGGTGGAAAGGATACCCCCTTCCACCATGGTAGTATGTCGGCCAGGCCACTAGGAGCGTGGCGATTGTTTCTTGTTGCCATCTTTTAATACAGGACTTGTGCTTCTCCTGTATATGTTCTGTGGTGGCGATTGCATACTAATTTAAAACGCGGAATTCACAAACATGTTCATACGACAACCGATTGAGCCGACGTATGTATAAAGAAAATTAGATAAAGAAGAAAGAGAATAAAAAGATAAGAAAGAAGAACAGAAGTTTGAAAAACCGGAAAATATATTTAAAAATTCACAAGGTCTGTTCTTTTTAACTGAACTTCTTGCATCGTTTATCTTACAACTTAGACCGCGGTCCGATACACGCTCACAACGCTTAAAAATCATTTCATCCTTGTTGTTTGTCAAATGTTAAACGAAGACAAACAATGCTCATGAGCGTTGTCAGCATGATTCGGACCACGGCCTTACAAGTAGTTCGTCTTTTCTCTTCTTTACAACGTGGAAAGAAAAAAAGGGAAAATTAACAATGCAAAAAATTTAACTGAAAAAAGCAAACCTATTATTGGGATCTATTATTAAATAATAATTAAAAATTAATGACTAGTCAGTAAGAAAACTATAATTTCAAGTTTAATGAACTTTGCTTTGATTGGTGACCAACTTTCAATTCAATTTCAATCTCTAGTCTGATATGGGCATATTTTAAGGACGTTTGAAGACGCCAAGATCTAACCTCAATAATATTTGGCGTTTCTTTACTTATTTGAAAAAAAAAAAAAAGAAAAACAAAGAAAGAGAAGAGAATTCACGCATATGCTTACTTCACTTCGTGTGCAAAAAATACAAGTAAAGAAGGTGCAGTTACGGAAATTAAACATTCGTCAACATTCGTTGAATTCCGTAACTGTTCGTCATTCGTCACAGGGAGTGTCTAGCTAGCGATGTAGCGTCGCAGGTTGCTGACTCAAAACTTGTGATTTTATTTAACGTATTTTTTTAATTTTATCTCTCTTCGAAAGCTTTATTCATAACATAAGATCCAGTACATTTAAGTGAGTCCGATATCCATTTTGCGGCGAATGCCTCGATCGAATTATCGCCCGCCGAAACATGCGAACAAGAATATCATGAATTAACAAGGTGATTATCGTCAGGGAGTGTCTTCAAGAGCTTCGCTTTATCAGTTCTGTTGAATTTCTCGAAGTCACGTTTCAATGTTGTGACATTCTTGATCGAGAGATTAATAAAATACTCGAATCTTGAATCTGGAAATTATAAAATGTCTGTTGTATAGTTACAAGATGTCCGCAATGATGTCTCGTTTATTAATCACCGCGGTGTTCTCGCTAATCCTTTTACTTCCCGCGTTTACACAAAATATCTTATACGGAGAAGAATACAAGTGTCCCCAGCATTGGATACGATTCCAAGAATCGTGTTATCGTTTTGTCAAAAGCCCACTGAGACCACGAGAAGATGCACGCAGAAATTGTCAAGCATTCCAAAGTGATCTGTTTACCATTAATACAATAGAGGAACATGGGTTTGTGCTCTATCAGTTGTTGTGGCAAGATCCACAACATCGCAGATGGTACACCGGAGTCAAACTCCAAAGTGGCCTATGGATAAACGAGGCAGACAGTACGACATTGATAAACATGGATAATGCCTTTCTACCTGAGCCTGTGGACAATATATTAGGAAGAGATTATTTAGCGTATTCTTATTCCAATAGTCTCCAGCGTTGGGGACTAGAAAAGGTTACTGGTAGAGAAGAATTGTTGTATATCTGTGAAGCACCTATTGCTACTCTTCACAACTTGGTGGAAGAGGATCGTACTTATCAGTATGGAATCAACATTGACAATCCACTTCAAATACCAAGGGGACCATACTTTATAAAGCAGCCCATAAACAAAGTATTCGATCAGTCAAAAAGAAATGTAAGAAATGATGTCTCACTAAGCTGTTTGGCAGGTGGTTATCCTACACCTACTTACGAATGGTTCAAGGAGACATATGTAAACGATCGACTTGTTGCTATAAAAATTGATCCTCTTCTAGACAGAAAATTTACCGTGAGCGGTGGGACACTTATCATCTATGATCCGGATTCTGTAAGAGATCTTTTAGTTTCTTTTTTAAATATTATATGTTATTTTAAAACTTATATTGAATTATATAAACTAATATATTTAGTTAATATATAAGTTAATGAATATCAACGATTTCATTATTTATTGTTTATAGAAAATAGATTCTGGCTTGTATCATTGTAAGGCAACTAACAAATTTGGCAAGATTATTTCTGAGAGCGCTGAACTGTCATTTGGATTTATCAATGAGTTTAATTTAAAACGTTCCGAAGAACGCGGAGATAATCATTGGGGTAAAGTAATGTACTGCGATCCACCACAGCATTTCCCAGATGTATCGTACTATTGGGTGCGTGAATACTTTCCCAATTTCGTCGAGGAGGATAAACGCGTATTTGTCTCACATGATGGAGCGCTTTACTTTTCTGCATTGGAAACAATTGATCGAGGAAATTACTCTTGCTACGTTCAGAACATTGCATTTGATATTGGACGTAATGGTCCATTCTTTCCATTAAAAGTGGACATGCACTGTAATTACTTTGGATTTTATTTTACGCATCTAACAGAATAGAAAACGACATAGTAAATCTAATAACTTTCTAAATTTTTCAGCTTCCTTCCAGCAGTTGAAGTTCCCTAATAATTTTCCAAAAGCGTTTCCAGAAGCACCAATAGCTGGAGAAACTGTTAGATTGGAATGCATTGCGTTTGGATAGTAAGTTACTATCAATACTTCGTCTTATATTTCTTTTACATATATATATGCAAATGTTTTTTCTTGTATGGAGGGATGAAAGTGATAAGCGGGTGTAAGTCATTTTTTTAACTTATTAACTTAAGATCATTGGTGCAGTCTACTAAAGCAAATATATTGAAAAAAATCTTTTATTTTTTGAAATTGTAATTAAGTTACATCACTATGGTTTTCACCTCCATATATGGATTTTGTGAATATAATAAATAATTTATTTCCCTAGTCCTGTTCCATCATACAATTGGACAAAAAGAGGTTCTATTTTGCCGCGTGGAGCATATACGGCAAATTTCAATCGGGTATTGATATTGCCTCGTGTACACGTGGAGGATCAAGGCGAATATGTTTGCCGAGTGTATAACGACAGACTATCCATCGAAAATTCTGTGCAGTTGACCATACAAGCGACGCCTAATTTCACCATCCCGTTGGTTGATAAGCACATGGATGATCATGCGGATTTAACTTGGATCTGTGAAGCATTCGGCATACCGGATGTCACTTACAGTTGGTTTAAAAACGGAGAACTCTTGGACATGTATACTCTACCACCTGAAGAGAGAGATCGTTATACTATACAAGATAATGTACTAAATATACGCCATGTGAATTCTGAAAGGGATCAGGGCATGTATCAATGCCGCGCAAGGAATCAGCTGAAAACAACGTATTCATCGGCTCAACTTAGAGTTTTGTGTGAGTACTTATATATTCTCTTTCAATATTCAACTGTGCAGTGTGAATGAAAAATAACGAATCATTAAGTTCTTTGTGTTATGTAAATATATGACATTATATAATATCTCTTTGATATTTCAGCATTGAAACCTTCCTTCAAGAAACGGCCTATGGAATCTGAGACATATGCGGCGGAAGGAGGTAACGTTACTATTGTGTGTAATCCCGAAGCCGCACCTAGGCCGAAATTTATTTGGAAGAAAGATGGGAATATAATTGGATCGGGCGGCAGGCGAAGAATTCTAGAAACTGGAAATCTTATTATCAGTCCGGTATCACGAGACGATGAAGGGACATACGTATGCACAGCGACAAATCAGTATGGCAACGATGAAACCCGTGGACGACTGATCATGCTACGTAAGTCAATCATTTGATACTCAAGGAAATCTTGAATTTATAAGAAGATATATATTTACGCAAAAAAATATTAACAGATTGTATTAAATTATATATCAGTTATTAAAAAGTAAATTTGATATTTATTGTTTATGTTGTTTATATTTAAATTTGCATTATGTCGTAAAAATTTGAGTTTTCTATATAACAATTTACATATAAATTTAATTTACGTATATAATTATATAAAATTGTTTATACATGCAGGTGGACCACAATTTGTCCAAAGATTGCCATCACAGATAGTTCTGTATTATAATAATAATCTGACATTACACTGTTTGGGTCATATCGACGAAATGTTGGATATAGCGTATATCTGGACGCATAATGGTATGCGTATCCGTGATCAGGATTTGCAGCATAATCCGCGATTAAATATCGACGGTGAATATTTAAATATTATAAATGCTACATTCACTGAAGCTGGTGAATACGAATGTATCTTGAAAAGCGCCGTTGGCGCAATATCGAGCAAGCTTAATCTGATCATACAGGGACCACCGGGACCACCTGGTGGAGTACAAGTGATGAATATCTTTAAAACTTCAGCTACATTACGGTGGAGCGACGGTGCCATGAATGGCAAACCAATAACTATGTATACAATCAGTGCGCGAACAGATTGGAATCGAACGTGGTTTTCTCTCGTAGAAAGTAAGTTTGGTATTTCATAATTATGATTTCTTACGGAAACGATTTTAACAATTAAATATTTATTAATTATGATGCTTCCAATATTAAATTAAATATTCCGACGCTTCTTCATTATATCTGTTTGTTTTCTCT